GCTAGGCCACTGCTGATGCAGCCCAGTATGCTGTTAGCCTCCCCTGCCACCAGCACACAGGGCTGGCTCATGCTCTGTGCACCGGCCACCGGGACCCCCAGATCTAGACAGAGATCATGAACTGGCAGGGTGGGCTGATGCCAGGTCTTTCGGAGCGTGCTTCTCTCTGGGCTCTCCCTCTCTGTGCTGAATCAGGATGCCTGTTTGTCACATGCTGTGGTGAGTCATTGCCACGGTGATGAGCTCACAGCTGCATGAGACTCTGTGCTGTCCGCAGGCACGGAGCCCAGTGTTCAGCTTGCTGGTAGAATGCAGGATGCGCTGAGGCGGGGTGCTTTGGACACCTAAGAACCCAACCTTGCACAGCACCTAGGATTGCTAAAGGAGCACAGGACAGGATAGGATAAGTAGGATACTTACATCTGCTCTCTTCCCCGCTGCTTAAAATTTGTAATAGTAGCTCTCGTGGTTGAAACTCAAACCACTTGCTCCATCCTCTGACTCAGGGGAAGGGGAGGAGGGAGGACTGAATCATTGTGCTTTCTGGGGCTGTGTGCCCTTCCTTGCATCACAGAATCAGAATCACAGGATGTTAGGGGTTGGAAGGGACCTCTGGGGGTCATCTAGTCCAATCCCCCTGCCAAAACTTAACGTTATTTATTTTGGTCTTTTAATAACTTGGAAAGCAGGAACTCTGTGTCTGTGAATTCAGCAGCAGTGACCTGAAGGGTGCTGAGGCACCCTGATGGTGTGGGCTTTAAGTCATAAATACTCGAATATTGGATGAGTCTTAAATAACCTATTGTTTCCTTAAGGTGAAACCTCAGCTAGAAGAAAAAGAAGGGAAAACGTTTGATGTCTTCACTGCAGTGGAGTTTAAAACTCAGGTGGTTGCTGGAACAAACTACTTCATCAAGGTAAAGGACACTGGGCAATGGGATTTTTTTTAATTAATGTGTATTATATTTGGAATGGTGGGTTTTTTTCCTTTACTTACCTACACAGGGATGCTTATGATTTGGCCTTAACAAGAATAAAAAAATCTGTGCATTTAAAAAAAAAGCCAAAACCATCCCACCCAGCCCGTCTCCCTGCCTGTGTTAAATGGAGATAAGAGTACTTCACAATTTTCATAATGATTTGTACTTTTCAGTTATTCTGTGAAAGCTGGTTCAGGGGATAATTACACATTTGTGATGCTGAGTGCTAACACTGCATTAAGCGAAGTCCAGATGTGCAAAGCTACAATGAAGTATCAAACCTGCTCTGACTCTGCCTGTAGTGATACCACACACAAAAACAAGCAGCAGTGATCAAAGCATTGAAGTGCTTGTTGTGCCAGATAAGATTAGAGCATTTTGCAGGTATTTAATGTATTAATCACTTCTCTGCAGCTGTTTGTCACATGCTGTGGTGATTCCCTGCCTGTATGTTCCCTATCTCAGGCACAGGGAGCATTAACAAGCGTAGAAGGCTTAGGTGGTATTTCCACAAAGTCCTGTCTCCCAGTCTGGTTTAAAATGAGACCACACCTTCCAAGGTGATGGCTTTTCTTACCGCATCTCTGCTTCTCCGTCCTCAAAACACACCAGTCTACACCAGCCCTCCTGGAGAAAGCTGCCATTACTCCATGGAACTCACTGGTTTTCACACTTCACAGGTCCATGTTGGCAATGACGAGTTCATGCACCTGCGGGTGTTCAGAAGCCTTCCTCACGAGAATCAGCCGCTGAGTCTCCACAGTTACCAGAGCAGCAAGACTAAGCATGATGAACTGGCTTTTTTCTAGCAAGCTCATCTTCTGCGTTTTCCTAGTGGTTTCTTACGTGCATTTTCTATAGGCTGCAAAATGTTGATTCCTGTGCCAACAAGAGAGAAAGGAAGTGTCTTTTGTTAAACTTAATGCTGGAAAAAATCAATTTCTTTTATGCCATTCCCTTCCTGTGCAAGATCTAAATTTTAGAGTTGCATGGCTCTCCTTTCATCTACACTAATGCAAACCCAAGTAGGTGCGCTGACTTGGGCGCAGCTGAACAGGAATACTGCGGCTGAGTGGTGTTTGTGGATTTCCTTGGTCTGGAAATTGAAAGGGGAGTGACACCAGTACTCCTGTATTTACAGCAAGGAGCAAGAGGAAAACCAGGATCTTTGTAGTACTGTTTTTGTTTTGCAACTGTGAATCTATCTGTAGGTTTCAGTTGTACTATGTGTTTTATTGGCAAAGACCAGAAGGGAGACTTGAGCTGAAGCAATTTTAAAAGCAAGACAAAGAGGAGGATTACAGCCTTTCAAAATGCGCATTCTCTTGGTAATCATGTTTATCCTCTTGCAGCAGTATGAGACAATGTCCAGTAGGGGGTGTAGGAGTTAAAAAAACCAAAACCAACTTGCTTATTTTCTCAGTCCTAAGGGAAAGTCCTGGAAAGGAACTTCAGCTGGACAAGCATTTCTGCATTAATGACAATAAACATTTCTCTTGAATTGAGATGGCATACCTGACTGGTGTTTCACTGTTCTCTTTACTGGTTTTCGATATTGGCTCTTACCGTACTCAGAGTTTTTTTCCAGGAGAGTTTCTCATGTGCAAATAACCTTATGTTTACTCTGTTTTAATTAGAAGTATTTTATTTTAACCTGGTGAGTTCCCTGAAAGACAACAAGAAAGGCAGGTGTATCAGTGTCTCAACAGCAAAGGCTAAGAAAAATGGGGGCCCTCTGTGCTCAGCGTAGCAGGAGACCTGCTGACAGAGGACACCGAAAAGGCTGAGGCAGGCCACAGGCTGTCTTCACGCTTTGAGGAATTAAAGCATCTGATCCAGGATACTGGCAGGCAGAGAAATGGGCAGCTGTCACACTTCTCTCAGCACTGTTTGCCTGTGACAATTCCAAGCCCATCCTTCACTATAGCATCAAACCAGCAATACCAGCAAGGCATGGCCTGAAACCCGTTTATGCATTTAATGTCTCGCAGCCGAGCCCCAGCTCCCTGGCAGCTAATGCAAAGGCCCCTACCTGAGCAGCTGCTAACAGGGAAGGGTTTCTGTTGTGGCTTGGGCTTGCCCTCTGCCTTTGTCACCTCAGAGCTCAGGTGCAGACTGCTCTCACTGCAGGTGGCTGATGCTACCAACAAAAGAAGCAGGAATCGGCTCCACAGGTCTCCAGTAAAGCACACCCTCGACATCAGGACAGCCATTCCCTTGCTCCAGGGGCTGAATGCTGGGGTTCAGCTGCCCTGGCTCCATCGAGGAGCTTGTTCCTGCCACTCACCCTGCTCCCACACAGTGCAGCTAAACTTACAAAGGGGGACACAGTTTGGCTTCTCAATTCTCCCTTGACAAAAATTACCTGTCATCTCTCTCACACACTTTCTGATGAGCAACCAATAATTTGCATTTAATGCACTTAAAGCAAACGCAAGAAGCCTGCCAATGCCTAAAGTACACCCAGGAGGCCCAAGTTTTGCCTTCAGAGCGAGCCTGACAGTGTTTTGGAAAGAGGGGCTGCAGTGGGTGTGCTCTGTCTTACAGCTGTAGTACCTCAGGTGGCAGAAACAGCCTCGAACAGTATTGCAGAGCCGACCTGAGCTTTAGCCAAGCAGCAGACCTAGACAAGACACGCAGTAGATGGACAGCTTTCAAAACTTAGTTTATTTTCCTGCATTTACTGGCACAAGCAGAATCCACACTCGATTTGCAGAAGCGAGGCACCATTCCCTGTCGTCTCTCAGCAGGTCAGGGGATCATCTCTGGTTTTGCCAGTCTGAAAACTGACAAGGCTGGGACCTTGGTTCTCATAAGGAAGGCTCTGAAACACCTTTAAGTGGACATACTCGACGTCAGAAACTTGGACCTAGAAACCAAAACAGCAGGAAAGTGAGGATCATGGGTGAAGCAGGTTCAGACAAAAGTATGCTCTTACATATGTGGAAGCATAGCTTTGCGCAGGAGCTTAATTTTAGGTATATCTCCATTTTTACTTCAACAGCTCTTAACCCAAGTCTGGATAGTAACGGGCGGCAGAATCTGTCTGCACCTGTAGAAAACTGTAATAAAACCCTTCAGGCTCATGTGAATGGAAAACGAGTAGGACTGCTTGGGTGTCGAAGCACCAGAAGGCACAACAGGAGAAAGGTCTTGATGGCGTTCTATTTCAGTCATCAAGATCCCAGCGCATCAGCGCACAACTTCTTGGGACACTCCAGGCAGGAGACAAGAGACAATGAGTAAATCTTAATGACCCAGGGGTCAGGCAAGATGCAGAGACAGTGTCGGCTCCGAGAAGGTACAGAAAGATCTACTCAAAACCAGCACCTGCTCCTTGGAAGCAGTGACAACCTGAAAGCCAGGATCCCTTGTCTGCAGAATTACTGCAAGCACCTCAGCGCCTGAACAGACCACTGGATGCATCTTGGTGCTTGTGGGCGGGAGAGTGAGAGGCTGAAACAGCTTTTAAAATGAACTCGCCTTCCCCTGCAGAAAGCCCTTCCATAAAGACTCGCCATGGGGTTGTGCATAATTTCGTACAGACAGAGCCAAGCCCCAGAGCTGCTGAACTCCCACTGCATGAGGGATGTAGTATTAAGGGAAAGTTTAACGCCTTAGGCTCTAAGAGGTTTTTACGTGCTGTCTGGTGGCTGCAACCCGGCACTATGCGTGTCTTGGTCTGGATTACATCTCAGCTCTAAGTCTGCTGGTAAAATATTAGCGATGTGAAAAATTCAGGTCTGTAAAAGAATTAATCTTGTGACAGAGCTCATTCCAGCTAATGCTAAAATGAGCAACTGTTTTCTGTCACTTGCAAGACTGGGAAAGAAGAAATCATCGGTTTTCAGTGCTATAAATGGATTTCTTCCAAGTCTGGTAACATGTCAGTCTTCATCAGCGAGTAGTTTGGTCATGAGGCTTAGCATGGACAGCAGACAAGTGTTTTACCTGCCTAGGTCAGCCACAGGATAGCACTAAGGGACGAAATGCAACTGCGTGTGACTTCTGGCTTTACTGCACCCTTCCTCTGAATGGTTACTCTTCATTACTCCGTACCTTGTCCACCAAGTGAACGCACATCTCACAGGAGCAAGGGAAGGATAAGCATCATTTGTGTAAGAAAGGTCTCACTCAGGCTAGCCACAGAATAGGTAGTCTCTCAGTACAATCCCCTGGCGCCAACAGAGCAGAAATAACTGAGGAGTTCTTTTTAAGGAAGGACCTGGGAAAGAAGACGGTTTGGCAGTGTCTGTCCTTCTTGGGATCAGCTACATATGAGAAGTGTGCAGCAAACGCTCATAATGTCTCTCTGCAGAATTACTGTCCCCCAAACCCTACCTGCCAATTTCTTTCACAAAAAGATTCTGAGCCTTGTGAAGGGAGCACATCCTACCAGGCATATGTCTGCACACACGTGGGCTTACGACACAGCAGCCGCTTGCAGTGTTTGCTCTACTTCCAGAACGCCAGCCTGCCGCTAAGCAATGCTTTCCGGCCTTGGCTTGCAAAAGATGCCCGGCAATTTCATCATCTCACTTCACAGAAAGCTGCTCAAATCCATGGGTAAGGTTTTCTAGTAGAGGATGAATGGCACTCTCAGAGGGCTCCAAATGAAGCCTTACCCGGTTTTCCTCCGCAACGAAAGTGGGTTTGGAAAATATAGAAGGAACTGGCCGGCAGGCTGTACCTCTGCAGCACATGACACAGAACCAAAGTGTCAACACACACGCTTGCATGCAAAACTAGTCAGCAGAGTATGAGATGCTTGCGTCAAATTAAAAAATTCACTCTAACCCTCCATCAGATCCTCAGGTTGACTTCATCTTCATCATAATAAACACAATGGGAGGACACAGAGGCCATAGGAAAGCTACTTGGCCTTGAAAGGAAACAGGAGAGCAAAGTTACGACTAGTTTAAAGAATATGAGCTGATAAGACAATCTATAGTCTTTGAGTGAGATGATCCTATGAAAGTTCTCATTCTTATCTGAAGAAGCACAGCGCACTTTTTACAGGTTTTTATATTCCTGTTCTACAGTAGGGCCAAACAGAGGAATTTTGTAAGCATCTGGAGATAGGCCTTAACTTTGCTAGTCACATCAGATGGTGTTCTACTACATTTCCTTCTCTTTCTTGCTATAAGCCACTATGCAGGTCACCTATATCGTTTCACTACAAAGCACTCCCTTCTATAATATATACAAACCTTAATACAGTAGTTCGTCCCAGCAACGACCTGAGTCTGATATTCTGTGGCTTTAAAGACATCACATTTCCTGTTTGCCTGGTTTTCAAATTGTGGCTTCACCTGTAAAAGGAAAGGGGAAAATGGTTGGCAGGTTCATATTTAGGCTTCTCTTTCACATCTCCCGCTCCTATTTTCATCCTTTCAAACACGCACCCTTAATGAAATAAAGCCAGAAACCCCAAAATAATTCAACTTCCACCAAGACCTCCAGCCCTCTCTCCTAGTGTTGCCCGCAGCAGTCTTTAATACCCTGTTCGAACTAGACTTCCTAGTTGATTTCCCCCCGCCCCGAAAGCCGTCCGGCTAAACTCGCAGCTGCTCAGCACAGGGGAACTGCTACCTGCTGCCCTTCTCCTCCTTTGTCAAAGGAGCCAGGTACCAAGCCACGCTCCCTAGCAGGGTCTGCCCCACGTCAACCACACTGCTACACAGTGGTGCAAGACAGCCCCCCTCGCCTGGCAGACCTACACCCATGGCAGTCTGCCTGGGAGGCCGCAGACCCCTGTTGCGTTCATGGTTTTCTTTAAGGACTTGCAATAAACAGGGTTATTTGAGAGCATCAAGACAACCACACGACGTTACCGTGTAACACACAAACAATTGTAATAGTTACAACGGCCCAGGACTAAACTGCCTACTTCATCTCCCAAACTGGAAGCACCACCTTGAGATTGTGAGCCAGAAATCAACCCCAGGCCTGCACCAACATCATCAGTCCTTCACTACGTAGCAGCTGCAGGTAACGTAGTTCCACAATGCTCTGTGCTGACAGTGTTCACGCTCCCAGTTCAGTGAGATGTGTTTGTGCACAGACCCAGTTTAAGCCCTGTGGATTTTAAAATACGCACAGTTCAGCTATCTACAGCCTTTTGTGGTGTGCAGCCCCCCGCACACCTGGCGATCCCAGAGCCAGCCAACGTTGTACTCTTGCTTGCACTTCACAGCTTCACTCAAATCCTATGAACTGCTCCGCCTCTCAGCAGAGCATAAAATCCCACCGAATTGCATCATGAAAGGGTGACACTCGTGTCTGGCTGGAAGCAGAGCAGGATTGCCCCAGCGTAAGGCTTGTCTCCATAAGAATATTTTCCTTCGAGCACTATATCAAAGTCTCTGCAGGGGAGCGTGAGCTTTTTGAAAGGAAAAGGAACAGAGAGAGTTCTCTCTCCCGCACTCAGCACAAGGCAAAAATGTCACCTTGCAGAAAATAAAGAGCAAAGTGTAATTATTTTTTTTAATTTTCCTGAAGTTACTGAGAACGGAAGAACACCAGAATTAAGGTCAGTCCTCTTCCTCTTCAGGAATTAGAAAATCTGTACATCCGCATTTCGTTCCCGTTTTGCCCTGTAGTTTGTCAGCATTAGCGCAGCCAGCAACAAGCGTTGACACTTTTCAGTGCATGTCTGCTCACGGACAGTTAGGCTCTGTGGTTTCATCTCTGATACACGCTGCAGCAGGGTGGAATCTTTTGATCATCCATAACACAGCCTAGCAGTGAAAACATAGCTCTGTATCTGGCATGCTCCACTGTCCTAGCAGTGTTCAAAGGAGCCTTTTAAAATATTTCGTAGGCTCATTCGTCAAATTTTACACCTCCCAGCTGGCAGGAGACTTTGTTCTCCCTGTCCTACACGAGGAAACAAGAAGGGCAAATACACGAAGGTGCCAGAAGTCCTTGCCTAGGGTCTCCTCTCCATGCGTAAAAGGGAATTTCTGATCTGTTCAAAGTACACGCACACATTAACTGAAGGCAGTGAGTACTATGCCTGGCTGTTGACAAGGCTGAGACGGGGAAGTGGTTTGTCCCGGTCTTACTGTTACACTGCCAATGCAGAATGCTGGGAAAATGCTTACTGGTAATCAAGGAGATTCCCATTTTCAGCACCAGCTTCTTCAGTTGAAACCCTGGTTCAGCATCACCACCTCGTCTCCCCACCTTTGCACAAGCTTCAAGACTCAGCCCTTTGCACACAGAGACTTCATCTCTCGACAGGTTGTAACTCACCTCGTCAACAATACGCTGGATTTCTGGAGTGGCAGGCTGGGCCTCAGAATAGCCCCCAACCATCTCTGACATGATGGGTGGCTCTGAAGAGGGAAGCTCAGTGCAGCCTGAGCAGAGTCACCAGGCATCTCATATATATACACCTATACATGTGTCATGGAATCACATGACTCGGAACATATGGAGCGTACCATTAGTGAACTGGAGGAGGAGAGAAATGGGGAAAAAGGGGAAAAGGCAATGTAAAGCACTAATAATACTAAATGTGAAAAGCAATTTTAAATCTTAAGTGTCCATAGTCTCCATCTCAATAAAAAAAGCAAACAACAGCCTCTCGCCACCCACATGCTAAGATAGTTGGTTTGGGCTGGAAGAACCTCTTCCCTCTCCACCCACATGCAGATGATCAGTCTGTGCACTTAGGAAGTGGATCAGAGTCACACCCAGTATTTCGCAACACCACTCCAGATGAGAAGAAAGCATGCGCTGATTTCCTTGGTGCAGGTCCCATTCAACTTGAAATTCAAGTTGAAGGCTCAATAGCCTTCCAAAAAAGTGGGAAACAGAAGGAGATTGCATTTTCCTTTCAGTGACTTTACTTCCCTCAGCCTGACCTGAAAGGTACCAAGGTAAACACCAGAACCAGTGAGGAAAAAATTAAGCCCTAGGTTCAGCTAAGTCCTGCAAGTAAGTTATTATGGCTTCTTCCCCATCAAACCTCTGGCTGCATTCAGGCAATCACAGCAACAGCTGGATATGCAGTACCATCTACATTTTTATTGCAACTCTAGGGCCAATTTCCTGGAAGACAAAGTATGATCCCTCTCACAACAGTAGTTTTGTGTGCACAACAGCTGTTCTCATTTCAAGGTGCTTCTAAGTCACAAGCTGCTGAAATATATAATGTGCAGAATATATAGTCAGAAGTATTCATTCTGCAGTTACAGTCACATTCATGACCATTGTCCTGGTTTTGGTTAAAAAGGAACAAGGCCCCTGTGTATAATTATTACTACAGCAGCCAAGGTCACCAATAGATCTCTCAGGTCCTGCGAGTGAGGAGTCGTAAAGGGTCACACTTGCAGGGAGGGGCGGACAGGACAGGTGACCCAATATTGACCAACGCAGTATTCCATGCCATGCACGTCATCCTCAGTTTAAGCTGGGGGATCGCAAGAGTCTTACAGAATCACAGAAAGGCAGGAGTTGGAAGGGAGCGCTGTGGACCATGTAGTTCAGCCCCCCTACCAAAGCAGGGTCACTTAGAGCAGGCTGCACAGGACCTCATCCAGGCAGGTTTGCAATATCACCATTTTGTATATTTTGCATTATTTCTCTTATTATTAATAGTATTATTAGTGTGATTAGTAAAACTTTTAACCTTCAATTTGTAAGTCTCTGTGTTATTAGTAAAGCTGTTTTTATATTCAATTTGAAAGCCTCTCTCCCTTTGCTTCCTTTTTCCCTTCCTCCATAGAAGTGCAGCGGTTAAAAGAGGAGCATCTGCCACTCTGCTTATTGCTGCCCTGCTCTAAACAGTGACAACCATTTATGAATGTGCAAAGCTCCAAACACATGCAACCTGCTGAGGAAAGGCTAGCAACTATTAGCAACCCTTCCTGGTGAGGGAGAGCGAACACTTCAAGATCACAGGAAACTGCTGTCCCCACCTCCAGCAGCTGGGAGGAATGCTGTGCCAGAGCTAGGACCAGCGAGGTGGCAACACACCAGACCAATTTTAGTCCCTATGGGTGGGTTCATGGGAGGGGGTGAAATGAGAATGTGTGCTGCACACAGGCAATGGGCATTTCTTGCTGCAGTCAGCCTTCGAGAACTCGCTAGAAACAAGTCTGTTCATGGCCACAGCAATGGTGGCCGTGCAGCATAGACTTATCGGTGTCCGAACCACCCTGCTGACCCTCCTCATGGACAACAAGTGCTGCAGCAGACTGTAAACAAGAACTTCGTACCTAACTTCAAGGCCTTTTCCTCGTACAAAGACCCAAAATCAAGAACCTGAGGCCCAAAACTCAAGAGTCAAGGCAAGAGCATGTTACCGATAAGGATCTTGCAGTATTTCCCAAACTTGAGCAACTGTGTTATAGGAGTGGAAGAAAGGCATTTGAGTTAACGACAATTCAAGCTGATGAGCTCAAACTCCTTCTTTTGCACAAGACCCTGCTGATTCACTCCAATGCTGATCGTCTGACACCACGTTGCTACCACGCACCTTAATCACATGGTGGGACGGATGAGTGAACTACCTGGAAGAACCCGAGTCTTCATCAGCGAGTAGTTTGGTCATGAGGCTTAGCATGGACAGCAGACAAGTGTTTTACCTGCCTAGGTCAGCCACAGGATAGCACTAAGGGACGAAATGCAACTGCGTGTGACTTCTGGCTTTACTGCACCCTTCCTCTGAATGGTTACTCTTCATTACTCCGTACCTTGTCCACCAAGTGAACGCACATCTCACAGGAGCAAGGGAAGGATAAGCATCATTTGTGTAAGAAAGGTCTCACTCAGGCTAGCCACAGAATAGGTAGTCTCTCAGTACAATCCCCTGGCGCCAACAGAGCAGAAATAACTGAGGAGTTCTTTTTAAGGAAGGACCTGGGAAAGAAGACGGTTTGGCAGTGTCTGTCCTTCTTGGGATCAGCTACATATGAGAAGTGTGCAGCAAACGCTCATAATGTCTCTCTGCAGAATTACTGTCCCCCAAACCCTACCTGCCAATTTCTTTCACAAAAAGATTCTGAGCCTTGTGAAGGGAGCACATCCTACCAGGCATATGTCTGCACACACGTGGGCTTACGACACAGCAGCCGCTTGCAGTGTTTGCTCTACTTCCAGAACGCCAGCCTGCCGCTAAGCAATGCTTTCCGGCCTTGGCTTGCAAAAGATGCCCGGCAATTTCATCATCTCACTTCACAGAAAGCTGCTCAAATCCATGGGTAAGGTTTTCTAGTAGAGGATGAATGGCACTCTCAGAGGGCTCCAAATGAAGCCTTACCCGGTTTTCCTCCGCAACGAAAGTGGGTTTGGAAAATATAGAAGGAACTGGCCGGCAGGCTGTACCTCTGCAGCACATGACACAGAACCAAAGTGTCAACACACACGCTTGCATGCAAAACTAGTCAGCAGAGTATGAGATGCTTGCGTCAAATTAAAAAATTCACTCTAACCCTCCATCAGATCCTCAGGTTGACTTCATCTTCATCATAATAAACACAATGGGAGGACACAGAGGCCATAGGAAAGCTACTTGGCCTTGAAAGGAAACAGGAGAGCAAAGTTACGACTAGTTTAAAGAATATGAGCTGATAAGACAATCTATAGTCTTTGAGTGAGATGATCCTATGAAAGTTCTCATTCTTATCTGAAGAAGCACAGCGCACTTTTTACAGGTTTTTATATTCCTGTTCTACAGTAGGGCCAAACAGAGGAATTTTGTAAGCATCTGGAGATAGGCCTTAACTTTGCTAGTCACATCAGATGGTGTTCTACTACATTTCCTTCTCTTTCTTGCTATAAGCCACTATGCAGGTCACCTATATCGTTTCACTACAAAGCACTCCCTTCTATAATATATACAAACCTTAATACAGTAGTTCGTCCCAGCAACGACCTGAGTCTGATATTCTGTGGCTTTAAAGACATCACATTTCCTGTTTGCCTGGTTTTCAAATTGTGGCTTCACCTGTAAAAGGAAAGGGGAAAATGGTTGGCAGGTTCATATTTAGGCTTCTCTTTCACATCTCCCGCTCCTATTTTCATCCTTTCAAACACGCACCCTTAATGAAATAAAGCCAGAAACCCCAAAATAATTCAACTTCCACCAAGACCTCCAGCCCTCTCTCCTAGTGTTGCCTGCAGCAGTCTTTAATACCCTGTTCGAACTAGACTTCCTAGTTGATTTCCCCCCGCCCCGAAAGCCGTCCGGCTAAACTCGCAGCTGCTCAGCACAGGGGAACTGCTACCTGCTGCCCTTCTCCTCCTTTGTCAAAGGAGCCAGGTACCAAGCCACGCTCCCTAGCAGGGTCTGCCCCACGTCAACCACACTGCTACACAGTGGTGCAAGACAGCCCCCCTCGCCTGGCAGACCTACACCCATGGCAGTCTGCCTGGGAGGCCGCAGACCCCTGTTGCGTTCATGGTTTTCTTTAAGGACTTGCAATAAACAGGGTTATTTGAGAGCATCAAGACAACCACACGACGTTACCGTGTAACACACAAACAATTGTAATAGTTACAACGGCCCAGGACTAAACTGCCTACTTCATCTCCCAAACTGGAAGCACCACCTTGAGATTGTGAGCCAGAAATCAACCCCAGGCCTGCACCAACATCATCAGTCCTTCACTACGTAGCAGCTGCAGGTAACGTAGTTCCACAATGCTCTGTGCTGACAGTGTTCACGCTCCCAGTTCAGTGAGATGTGTTTGTGCACAGACCCAGTTTAAGCCCTGTGGATTTTAAAATACGCACAGTTCAGCTATCTACAGCCTTTTGTGGTGTGCAGCCCCCCGCACACCTGGCGATCCCAGAGCCAGCCAACGTTGTACTCTTGCTTGCACTTCACAGCTTCACTCAAATCCTATGAACTGCTCCGCCTCTCAGCAGAGCATAAAATCCCACCGAATTGCATCATGAAAGGGTGACACTCGTGTCTGGCTGGAAGCAGAGCAGGATTGCCCCAGCGTAAGGCTTGTCTCCATAAGAATATTTTCCTTCGAGCACTATATCAAAGTCTCTGCAGGGGAGCGTGAGCTTTTTGAAAGGAAAAGGAACAGAGAGAGTTCTCTCTCCCGCACTCAGCACAAGGCAAAAATGTCACCTTGCAGAAAATAAAGAGCAAAGTGTAATTATTTTTTTTAATTTTCCTGAAGTTACTGAGAACGGAAGAACACCAGAATTAAGGTCAGTCCTCTTCCTCTTCAGGAATTAGAAAATCTGTACATCCGCATTTCGTTCCCGTTTTGCCCTGTAGTTTGTCAGCATTAGCGCAGCCAGCAACAAGCGTTGACACTTTTCAGTGCATGTCTGCTCACGGACAGTTAGGCTCTGTGGTTTCATCTCTGATACACGCTGCAGCAGGGTGGAATCTTTTGATCATCCATAACACAGCCTAGCAGTGAAAACATAGCTCTGTATCTGGCATGCTCCACTGTCCTAGCAGTGTTCAAAGGAGCCTTTTAAAATATTTCGTAGGCTCATTCGTCAAATTTTACACCTCCCAGCTGGCAGGAGACTTTGTTCTCCCTGTCCTACACGAGGAAACAAGAAGGGCAAATACACGAAGGTGCCAGAAGTCCTTGCCTAGGGTCTCCTCTCCATGCGTAAAAGGGAATTTCTGATCTGTTCAAAGTACACGCACACATTAACTGAAGGCAGTGAGTACTATGCCTGGCTGTTGACAAGGCTGAGACGGGGAAGTGGTTTGTCCCGGTCTTACTGTTACACTGCCAATGCAGAATGCTGGGAAAATGCTTACTGGTAATCAAGGAGATTCCCATTTTCAGCACCAGCTTCTTCAGTTGAAACCCTGGTTCAGCATCACCACCTCGTCTCCCCACCTTTGCACAAGCTTCAAGACTCAGCCCTTTGCACACAGAGACTTCATCTCTCGACAGGTTGTAACTCACCTCGTCAACAATACGCTGGATTTCTGGAGTGGCAGGCTGGGCCTCAGAATAGCCCCCAACCATCTCTGACATGATGGGTGGCTCTGAAGAGGGAAGCTCAGTGCAGCCTGAGCAGAGTCACCAGGCATCTCATATATATACACCTATACATGTGTCATGGAATCACATGACTCGGAACATATGGAGCGTACCATTAGTGAACTGGAGGAGGAGAGAAATGGGGAAAAAGGGGAAAAGGCAATGTAAAGCACTAATAATACTAAATGTGAAAAGCAATTTTAAATCTTAAGTGTCCATAGTCTCCATCTCAATAAAAAAAGCAAACAACAGCCTCTCGCCACCCACATGCTAAGATAGTTGGTTTGGGCTGGAAGAACCTCTTCCCTCTCCACCCACATGCAGATGATCAGTCTGTGCACTTAGGAAGTGGATCAGAGTCACACCCAGTATTTCGCAACACCACTCCAGATGAGAAGAAAGCATGCGCTGATTTCCTTGGTGCAGGTCCCATTCAACTTGAAATTCAAGTTGAAGGCTCAATAGCCTTCCAAAAAAGTGGGAAACAGAAGGAGATTGCATTTTCCTTTCAGTGACTTTACTTCCCTCAGCCTGACCTGAAAGGTACCAAGGTAAACACCAGAACCAGTGAGGAAAAAATTAAGCCCTAGGTTCAGCTAAGTCCTGCAAGTAAGTTATTATGGCTTCTTCCCCATCAAACCTCTGGCTGCATTCAGGCAATCACAGCAACAGCTGGATATGCAGTACCATCTACATTTTTATTGCAACTCTAGGGCCAATTTCCTGGAAGACAAAGTATGATCCCTCTCACAACAGTAGTTTTGTGTGCACAACAGCTGTTCTCATTTCAAGGTGCTTCTAAGTCACAAGCTGCTGAAATATATAATGTGCAGAATATATAGTCAGAAGTATTCATTCTGCAGTTACAGTCACATTCATGACCATTGTCCTGGTTTTGGTTAAAAAGGAACAAGGCCCCTGTGTATAATTATTACTACAGCAGCCAAGGTCACCAATAGATCTCTCAGGTCCTGCGAGTGAGGAGTCGTAAAGGGTCACACTTGCAGGGAGGGGCGGACAGGACAGGTGACCCAATATTGACCAACGCAGTATTCCATGCCATGCACGTCATCCTCAGTTTAAGCTGGGGGATCGCAAGAGTCTTACAGAATCACAGAAAGGCAGGAGTTGGAAGGGAGCGCTGTGGACCATGTAGTTCAGCCCCCCTACCAAAGCAGGGTCACTTAGAGCAGGCTGCACAGGACCTCATCCAGGCAGGTTTGCAATATCACCATTTTGTATATTTTGCATTATTTCTCTTATTATTAATAGTATTATTAGTGTGATTAGTAAAACTTTTAACCTTCAATTTGTAAGTCTCTCTCCCTTTTCCTCCTTTTCCCTTCATCTGGTGGAAGTGCAGGGGGTTAACAGAGAGCATCTGCCACTCTGCTTATTGCTGCCCTGCTCTAAACAGTGACAACCATTTATGAATGTGCAAAGCTCCAAACACATGCAACCTGCTGAGGAAAGGCTAGCAACTATTAGCAACCCTTCCTGGTGAGGGAGAGCGAACACTTCAAGATCACAGGAAAACTACTCCCCGGTGGTAGTCCTGCTGTCCCCATCTCCAGCACATGGGAGGAATGCTGTGCCAGAGCTAGGACCAGCGAGGTGGCAACACACCAGACCAATTTTAGTCCCTATGGGTGGGTTCATGGGAGGGGGTGAAATGAGAATGTGTGCTGCACACAGGCAATGGGCATTTCTTGCTGCAGTCAGCCTTCGAGAACTCGCTAGAAACAAGTCTGTTCATGGCCACAGCAATGGTGGCCGTGCAGCATAGACTTATCGGTGTCCGAACCACCCTGCTGACCCTCCTCATGGACAACAAGTGCTGCAGCAGACTGTAAACAAGAACTTCGTACCTAACTTCAAGGCCTTTTCCTCGTACAAAGACCCAAAATCAAGAACCTGAGGCCCAAAACTCAAGAGTCAAGGCAAGAGCATGTTACCGATAAGGATCTTGCAGTATTTCCCAAACTTGAGCAACTGTGTTATAGGAGTGGAAGAAAGGCATTTGAGTTAACGACAATTCAAGCTGATGAGCTCAAACTCCTTCTTTTGCACAAGACCCTGCTGATTCACTCCAATGCTGATCGTCTGACACCACGTTGCTACCACGCACCTTAATCACATGGTGGGACGGATGAGTGAACTACCTGGAAGAACCCGCTCACCTCACTGAGGCCAAAAGCCACAGAATGCATCCAACTACCACGCAGCACCAGTGCCAAGCCAGGACACTCTACAAACTTCTCCACTCACCAGGATGCAGCTCTCACCAACTCCCGTGGGAAGGGATGTTGACAAGAACCCCAAGGCAGCACTACCCCTCTGGAGAACACTTTATGCTCATCAATCAGAAATACACCGAGCACAAAGATTAACAGCGTTGATTTATAACCTTGGGAAACTCTAGGTGTGAAACTAAAGACGTTAATGTTATGTGGAAATCAGTCATGGCACTCCATATTTCTGGGTTTGCTGGCTTTTTGCTTCAAAACATAAGAA